TTAACCATAACTGTACAAACCAAATGGGGCCAGAAAAATTTCCCAACGCTTTAGGAGTGCTCAAAATTTCGACAGCCTCGTCGAAAGTGGTATATACATGGGCTAATAAAAGCTTAGCTAAACATATCCTAGGCTGGCCTACGTGTAGGAGATATGCAAGGTCAAACAGATGAGAGGAGATTTGGATGGATCGGGAGCAAAAAACATGGGTACATAGCCAATATACCAAAAAGGCTATGTGTTCTTCGTCAGTCACAGCCATTGAATCGTCATCGACGAAGTGCTTCTCAAGAAAATGTCCGTAGGCCTTCGATTCCCAATCGATTTTAGACCTCAAAGAACTACTCGAAGGACATGCACCCTTAAAATACTTTTCCCCTATAGGCTTCAACCCAGTAATAGCCGCGATTTCGAAAAGGGTGGGCGAAAGAGGACCGCAGGGTAATTCCAAAGCGTGTAAGTCCTTATTCCACAAATAAATAGTGGACAGAAACATGGCCATATCCAAATAAGACAAGTCACATCGGGACAGATGCAAAAAATCAAAAATTCCCACGCTTCTCCAGTGGTCCCGAACTTAGCTTTAACCCTATCGAACCATCTAATATACAAGGGTTTTTTGGAAGGAGAGTCTGTCCTATACACCTTAGAGGTAAGATTTAAAAAATCAACCCTAACTTCAGGTTGGTGTACAAGAGCCGGACTAGTTGAGAGGTTGAGGGGGGTGAAAATTCCATCTATAGGACGAAGAGGACCCCCGAAAACAAAATTAACACCCTCAGCAGTATAAGGAATAAGTACCTGCGTCTCAACAATTTTGCGGGAAGCCTCCTCCATCAAAGGGACTGGAGCGAACCTCTGGTTGTTGATCTCCAGCAGGTTAGAAGGCAATGAGGAAAGGGGTGGAGCGGAAAAGTCAGAAGATTTTGACGAGGTAGCCATTTCAGTAAACTGAGGAGAATAGAAAGAGAGAGGCTAACGGATGAGGTAGCAAGGATGAAGACAAGAATTCAAGGAAGACGATGGAGGTGCAGGCAGAGGGTAAAAGTTCGCGTAAAAACCAGAATAAAGACCAAGGGAGAGGTTAAGGGGAAATCGCCTAGGGAGTTGGGAACGACGGAGGTGAAAGGTAATTAATGTTGCTTGTACTGTAAGGCAGCAGACTGATACGATGGTGACGTAAAGCAAAAAGTAACCTAAAACCCTTTAAAACCTAAAAACCCAGAAACCCTAAAGTTCTGCGGGCCCCCAAACACTAAGGCGGGAATATTGAAAGAATATAAACAAACTATTCATATTCTTCCAAGGGGGCATTTTGTTAGTGGCAAATCGAGAAAAGCGATCGAAAATGAAGGAAAGAAATGCGACTCGATAAGATAAACAAAAATTCATTCGATATCTAATTAGAAGTACGTAGCATATAGCATCGAGAAGTACAATCGAGAATCGAGTGAATGATAGTCAAATGCCTCTTGTCGAATAAAAACTAAGTCATATGAGACCAAGGTTAAAAAGGAATCGTAAGCAATTTGGAGTTCTCGAAAACACAAAATCGAGAGTGAAGAAAGCCAATGTGGACATCGAGACTTTGGCTGAAAGGAAGAATAGTCAAACACACAGAGGAAGCAGTTTCCCAACCATAATAAAAGTCGAAGATCGTGAGAATGTGGGAAACCGTAGAAGATAAACGGCAACATGCACGAAGAACGTGGTAGCAGTTGTGTTAACCGCTCCTGGAAGGCTTGAACAATGCCCTATAAATAGAGCAAAGGAGGAAGGAACAAGGGGGGGAGAAATTGGCAGAGAACAGAATCAGTAGTGAAAAGTCTACCGGAGAAACGACGAACATCATGAAGTTTCTGGCAATCTGGATTTCCTTGCTCACTGAGTACATTTACCGCTTTCTGTATTTTCCTTGGTAATTTATTTTGATGCAACTTAATTTCAGCAGTTTTATGTTTCTATATTTTCGATTCCTTGTCATTTCAATTCAATGAAAGTTTAAGTTTCTGCATTTAAGTTTCCCTGTCATTTAACATTCTGCAAATCTCGATTTCCTGTCAGTTACTTTTCTTGTAATCTCGATTTCTTGCGCTGTTTTCGATTTCTTGTCATTTACAATTGATGCAAATTTGGAGTTTTCGCACTTTACATTTCCTCGTAATTTAATATTCCGTTGCTCGATTCGACAGTTTTACTGCCTTCAGTACCTTAAATACAAAATACCAAAAACAGCGTTTTCAATATCTTGTGATTTTCGATTCTCATACACGTTTTCGATTGAAAATCAAACTGCTAACCTAAGTAAAAAGAACTTACGTGGTAGAATTTTGATTAGGACCAAAACACTTTTAGAATCGAAATCGATCGAAATTCCACCAGAAACAAATTGGCACGCCCGGTGGGACCTCTTGTGTTGAGAAACACAAAATTGGTTAGTTCGAGAGTGTATGAGATTAAGGAGTGGGAGAGTCATGAGTCAGAGTTCATCAAGTAACCAGAGTAACAGTGAGGGATTAAATGGGTCACACCCACCAAATACTAGGGGGTAAAGTCATAATGGGAATACACCTGTAGTATCGACAACTGTAAGTATGTCGATACCCGTGAGTAATGAACAAAATTCAGGCACTTTAGCAAATACCCAAGTAGGATCTAGTGTGGTGGTATCAAATAATATGCAAACTGTGGGAAATCCCACAACCACATATGTAGGGCCACATATGTAGGTACCAAATAATATGCAAACTTACGTGGTAGAATTTTGATTAGGACCAAAATACTTTTAGAATCGAAATCGATCGAAATTCCACCAGAAATACATGTAAAATGAAAACATGTTTTTATTTTGTAGTTTTCTTATATTGAAAAAAGAAAGTGCTACAGTTAACGAAGTTTGATTATAGACTAAGTAGTCATATTACTAAATTCATTTTTGTTCTTTCATATTTTGATTTTTGTATAAGTTCAGAAAAAAACGAAGTATCCTCAACAAGAGAGAATTGAAAGATAGAGGGGTGTGTTGTGCCCTGTTAAGACAATAGGAGCCATGGAATCAAAGGTCGATGAAAACAACAATAATAGTAATTTGGGTTATGCAGGCCATAAGAAGAGAAAAAAAGGTAGATAATAAGAAAGAATAAAATCATGCCAAATGAACTCATGTTTACAATAATAGAAAATAAAAAGTTTACTCCAACAATATTAATTATTTTTTATTATTTATTATATTAATAATTATACTAAAACAGTAAATATCTTAAAAAAAAAACAACTAAATTAGTGTTCATAAAAGTTGGAAATTTCCGTTGTTGCTTATGTGCATGCATTTGTGACAAAAAGCTGGCGCTCAGTCACTGATATGAACCTTTGGTCTATTCTTATGTTTTAATCGTCACAATGGAACTTCATTATTAAAAAAATAACACGCGAGTGAAGTTTTGCGTGTGTGCTGGATTTTATCCTCCACAGGTTCCTGTAACTACAATGCGAACTAAAATTTGTTTCATTCAATTCTTTTAAATAGTTTTAGAGGTTAATTTTTAAAAATAAATCTGTTTGATAATTTTCTTTTTAAAGAATCACGTAGAAAGTTGTGACGCAAAAAAAAAAGTAAATATTAACCATTTTATAACGATAATAAATAATTATTGATACAAACATTGATATTTTTTAATAAAAATAGAAAGTTGAAATAAAAAATATTTTTCATTAGTCTTGATTTTTTAATTTTTAAAAATTTTAAAAAATAAAATACTACAACATAATTTGAAAAACAATAGATAAACAAACCAACGTAATATTATCTCAAATTTAATTCAAGTTGAGTCACATGGTAAAACAAACTGATAAAATACCATGATTTTGTGTAATAAGTGAAAATCAATAGTCATATATATATATATATATATATATATATATATATATATATATATATATTAAGTTTAATAGTTATGAGTTATTAGCATAATTTGTTTAAGTCTTCAGTTAATAAAAATATTTTTTCATATGAGTTTTAAGATAGTTAATATATAAATTAACAAACTTACGGTTATGATTTTATATCGATATAAAAAATACTAACCGTCAAAGTATATAATATTTTATTATTTATGTGTTATGTATACAGTTTGAAATTAATTAAATTATATACAAATTATGTCACCTTAGTTGTCAAACCTAATGGAAACAAATATATTTTACCCTAACTAAGTTTTAATATTAATATTCAAGATGTAATGTGAAATAAATAAATAAAAAAGTGTGTACCACATTTTAAGAGAGTAAAAGATTTCCATATATATTTCAAAATATTTTTTTTAAATGTTTTTTTTTTCAAAACTTCTGTCTTAGCGAAATAATGCTATCAGTAAATTTGTGTTTTTTAGCGTAATTGAAAAAAAAGGTGTTCTTTTACTTACCTAGTTTTTTTTTTATAGGGAAAAATGGTCGAATTCAAACTAACTTAAATTGAAGTAAGTACTTTACCTGCGTAGAGGAATGAATTTAAATAAATTAAACTCGACTCGTAAAATAAGATTTAAATAGTTTTTAACATAACTTTTAAATAGAGAGAATTTTATTTGAAATTATAAAATTTAAACTAAATTTATTGAATATAGAAAATAAGATTCTTAAAACTCTATGTTTTTTTTTTAAATTAAAAGAATATAGTTATTATTTTATGTTTTATGAATATGAATTTATGATAAAAACAAAATAGGTTGAAGAATGAAAAATATCTTGCCCGAAAGAAAAGCACTAAATGTAGAAAAGAAAAAAGAAAATTATTTGGAAGGAATAGAAACGAACCGAAACGGGGAATCATTGTTTGCGTCTGTAAATTGAAAATTGCATCCCTCTCCCTGAAACTCAACCTCAAAACCCTAGCTTCCTGCAACACGAGCACAACGGCGTCGTTTCAGTGACGTTGTTATGATTGGGTGAGAATCGAACCGAATCAAATCGAATCGCGAAGGAACACTGTACCGGCGTTCGTTATGTACAGAGAGCGAGGAGGCGTGGGATCCAAATCGGAGGTAACTTCCGCTGATCGGAAGCGAATCAACGACGTGCTCGATAAACAGCTTGAACGGTCCTCGCCGTCCACATCCAGAGCCGCCACCATCAACGGCAAGGACCGCTCATCCTCCTCATCCCTCTTAGCCGCCGCCAAAGACTCCCGCTCCACCTCCGTCACCGCTCCCATCTCCAAGAATTCCAACGCTTCCGACGGTTCGAGATTTCTCCCTCTCTCACGATCTGATCTATTTTTATTGCCAATCTCGCCAACCGAATCCTTATTCTTTTTCGGAGTTAGCCGTATCTTGACACTAACTTAGGGTTATGTTAATTCGCGCTATGCAGAGCTCTTGACCTACTGTTTAATGATTAATGGATTAGAGAATTAAAAAGTGTGAGCGTTGGTCTTGTTGCTCACGTAGGAACGAATCCTGTTATGCTATGGACTTTAGGATAGGACAGTAAGGTGAATTACTATTCCCGATAGAAAAAATATAGCCTGTATGTGTTACTAGGAAAGGAATGTATTATAGTCTAAATGGGGTAGCTTATGTAGTTGAAAAAGTTTTACAATGTCGCATTAGGTGGTTCGGGCATGCATGGAGAAAAAGAGTTGAAGATTGGAGTGTGAATCATGTGGAGGGAAATCCTTTGACTAGAGGTCGAGTGAGACCGAGAAAAATTATGAGCAAAATCACTAGGAAGGATTTAGATGTTAATGTTTGCATGTAAATACGATACGATTATAAATCATTGAGGGTCATTTGACTTTTCTAGTCAGCCCTACTTAATAGAAAAAGGTTTGATTGTTGGTTTGTTTGTTGCAAGGCATTTTAGCTATTCCCATAATAATGCTTCAGTTTTGCTGCAGAAGTTAAACATGTCGATGAGTTAAAAAATATATCATTGTTGATTTCATTTCTTAATTCGTTTTATGGCAAGATGTGGCAGTATTGCCTGCCACCCGCACTGCGAATAATCAGGGTAGAGGGGGCTTTGGCCGTGGTCGGTGGCAGCAAGGGTATCAAAATTATAGAGGAGCTGGCCTTCTTCCTCGTCCTGGACATTATCCTCAGAGGCAGAATTTTGGATATGGAAATAGATTTCAGAACGGTCGCCATGATGAGCGCTTTGTCTCTGAGTTGAAGCTTTCAAAAAGTGAAGAAACTCTGTCAAGAAAGTGCATTGCTTTTCAGGAGGTAGGGAATGGTATTATCCTATATTTAATTGCTGCTGCATCAAGCAATTTATTGTTCAATTTGCTTTAAGAATTTGAGAAATTGTTATTTGATAGAGTTTTAAGTCTCAATATTAAACTTCACTCATTATGCTGAAACCGGTGAGCGAAGGAAAATGAGTTATTGGTTTTGTATTGTAAAACCAAATTATTGTGGCTTATTTGAATGAAGCCACTTTTTTTTTTTTTTCCTTTGTTGTTTTCTTAAAGCGTTTTGTAATTCTATTAGATGGCCTTTCTGGATTTATATGTTCTCATTATGACAGTTTTCTTCATTATTCTGATAGCCTTGTGAAATTGCGTGCTATAGTCGTGTAGAAGGTGGAGAAGTGTACTTTGACGACCGGAGCATAGTAAGCTGTTTGAAATCCTCAATTATTTAATTGATTTTTGTTTGGTTCTCTTTTGGAATACATTGTTGTAATATTATGCTCATTCGAGCTTTCTTTTTCCCTTTTAATTAGAGACTTTTTAAGCGCCATATTACTGAGGATGTTGGTGCTGATTTGAATGAAGGTTATGATACATTCATTCCCAAAAAAGGTTTGTGATTTGTCTGTAATCTAATCTTCTGGTTTGTGGATTTAGTTGGATTATGGAATACTACGTGGAAGATTTGTGCAAGAGAAACAATGTAGAGCTGTATGCCACTATTTATGTTACTAATTATTTTCTTCTGATCATAAATTGTAATGCAGACTTAGGCTCAGAGGGTTTTGGTGATCTTCTTGCTTGCATTAGAGACAAAAATGTCCCTCTTCAAAACATTCATTTTGTGGTATGATATGTATCATAATCTATATTTTGAAAATATTTTAATATGTTACTGAAATAATTTCTGATCACTGTGCATCAATCTTGTTTTATCTTTTGCAGACATTCCGCAACAATCTTAACAAGGTAATTCATACATTTTGAATTAGTTTGCTGTTGGTCAGAGTCTTAACAGATATTCTTTTCTAGAAAACCCTAACCCAAATAGTGATAACATTGTGGGTTGTTAAACCTAACTGCAATTGATGAGCATATTTTTGGTCTTGTCACGTGTTTCGCCAAACCCACTGGGAATCAGACACTAATCCCTCTTGTGTTACTGCGACTGCTGCTGGTCATAAGAAGCATATGAATTAATTAAGTACTTTTCTCTTTGCAGATACTAGCAACAGCTTATATCCGTCACGAGCCTTGGGAAATGGGAGTGCACAAAAGGAATGGTGTTGTCTATCTTGATGTGCATAAGTTACCAGAAAGACCGCAAAGTAATTTAGATCGTAGGAGGTAGGCTTACTACCTACACTTGAATTTCATGATGATTGGATATGTAAATCATTAATATAATCAACAGAGCCATATGTTTTAGAAATATGATGTTTTTGCTTTCTACTGCTCAAGCTTAATTGGTATACAAAATAGAAAATTTCTTCCCACTTTTTGCTTTCATTTTATTGGTAGAAGCTTTAAACTTAATGTGTTTGGTAATTAGGTGTTATGTAGGATATTGTTTTGAGAGCCTTGCCACTGAAGACCCTAGAAGAGCAGATGGAGAAGGGATACATCATGTTGATGCCAATGTTGAATTCTGTTCTGTGATCAAGACAAAATTAGGAGCTCACCGCATCTTAATGGGTGCTGAGATGGATTGCTGTGATTCGACCAATGATGGAAAGAGATTTTATGTGGAGTTAAAGACAAGTTGTGAGGTTGACATAGTTCCGGATGTCTTGTGATCCCTTCGTATCTGCTCTCTCTCTCTTTTTTTTTCCCCTAATAACACACTTATGTTGGCTTGATAATATGCAAATGTCATTTCTATGATGCAGTTAAATTATCATTCTGAGGAAAGATTCGAGAGAGAGAAACTGTTGAAGTTTTGGGTACGTTCCCTATCTTTTGTAACCAATCCTTTTTGGCTTTCATCTCCGACTGAGTGTTCCTTTTTCAATTTTTGTGATATATTCAAGAAGGCTCTGTTTTTTATTGCAGATTCAATCATTTCTGGCAGGTGTTCCATATATTGTCATAGGATTTAGGTAACTGTTGTTTCTGTTCATTATCATTACAAAATGATTGGTTTTCCTTAACATTGTGTGGGAAAGTTACTTAACTCAACTAGAGTTCGAGAAATTGATTTCTGCTTTTTGTAACGTAATCCTCTTCTTTCATAAACCATGTATGACAAATTAAAAATTATACTGCTAATGGTTTCTATTAGTATATTTTCACTGTGATACAGGGATGATGCGGGGCGACTTGTTCGGACCGAAAGACTTAGAACCAAAGATATAACTCAGAGAGTAAAAGTGAAGAACTATTGGCAGGTACACTTTGACTAGTGTCAGGTGCATGGGGGCTATCCTTTATTTGGCTGGATACTGCATCATTAGTTAATTAAAATTGCAGGAAACACATCTGTAGGTTACAGAGAATGTTTCAGATGTTATTTCCTTCTCCCACATTAGTGTACATAAGTACATAGTTATAGCTGCAATCAATCATTTCATAGCTAATTAATGATCGTTTAATATCATTTTTACAGATAAAATATAAGAAAATCATATTTATATCTGTAAGTTCTGAAATGTGATTCTTTTCCTTTTCATCATAAATAACAAAATTTGTTGGCAGGGAGGTGTATGCTTGGCATTTGCTCATGAGGTATTATGCTGGCTGTATGGAACAGTCAAAGAAGGTTAGTATACTTGACATAGACACTCTCTTTTTTTGTTATGTATAAATAATGACTAATTGTTTTTATGTCATGTGTGCATTTTTTGTCTTCAGGTGAAGATTACATTTTGCAATTTGCTCCACCTTTCAACCGTTTGGAGCTTCTACAAGCCCAGTCCTGCCCAGATGTAATTACTAGTCATTTGGAGCTGTTGTGAAAATTTGGAGAACTTAACAGTTATTATTTAAGCAATTCTGTACACGAAGTCAGGGGGAATCAACTCTGGTGTTTTCCCCGATGCTTCGATCATTTCACGAACTTCTAGTATAGGTTTACTCTCTGTGAGTGCTGCGAATTGCATTCACATCTTCATAGAATTTTGTCGAAATATTATGGCCTAATCAGTTGGAATATAGGTTTTCATTTTACTGTTCTCTGCTTTATGCTCTTAAACTTAGTTTTGAAAGTGCATTCACTTTGAAACTGGTTTTTAAGAGCTAGATAGTAGATAGAAAACACATTTAAGTGAATTAAATTTTATAGGACTTATCACTTGGAATTACTGTTAAGCTTTTTCCATCGGATGAGACACAGGAAATAATTATTTCGGAGGTGAACATCCCACACTCGTCAATTCATTGCCGGACTCTTGCAGTGAAATAATATTTGGGACCACATCAACGATTCTCGTCGATTTTGCATATATTAACCACTTTTAAAAGACGAGGTTTTCATGACAAACGAGACTCATTTCATTCAATTGAAATAAAAATACTTTGGCCGATTTGAAATAATAAGTTGTAACTAGGCATGGCAACATGGCGGGAGTGAGTTTTGCCTTTTTGATCTCTGTCTTCGACTTTTTTAACTATCTCCGCTCCCGATCTCGGCAGGAGTTAAAAATTAGAGCCGACTCTATTGGGTTTCGGGTTTACGTGATCTATATTATTTTTAAAAAGATAATTATATTTATAATAATTAATTTTATTATGTATTTTTAATATATAAATAAATATTTGTAATTTTATAATTTATAATTATTATTAATTAAATATACATTTTAATTTATTATATTTATATAAAAATATGTATGTAAAATATATTTAATTATTTATATATAGAGAGAATATTTATAATATTATTATTATTATTATTATTATTATATTCAAATATATGAATACTTATAACATTATTATTATAATATTGTATTCAAACATTTAATTATATATATAAATTAATTCATTTTTAAGTTTTCATTTAAAAATATGGAATATATAGTTTATAAGGAAATATTTAATAAGTTAATTCTTATTTAATTAGTTCGAAGTAATAAAAGTTTAAATTACCAATTTCTTTTAATCCTTTAAAATACAATTATTTTATTAAGATAAAATTTTATATATGATAAATAAGAATAATAAGATAAAAAAATATGACATAATAAAACCTAATAAATATAAATTATAAATAAAATAATATTAGTTATTATTATGATTTATGTAAAGTATTTAGAAAAAGATAAAGAAGAAAAAAATTTACTTTGTGTTCATCAAATTGATTGAAAAGATTAAAAAAATAAATAATTTGATGGGAGAAATTAAGAAAATGTAAAAAATAGAAATGTAAGAGAAAATAATGTAATAAATTAATTGATATAAAAGATTAAAAAGACAAAAATAAAAGTGGGTAGAAGAAAAATAAAAATTGGTGAAATATTAAAAAAATAACCTTATATGTAATAGAAAAAGAAAAGAAAATACATTTAAAGTATTAATATTTTAAATTTTAAATTTAAATATAAAGTCGGGGCGGAGACGGGGTCGGGGTGGGGATTGCATTACCCATCCCGCCTCGACTTTTTAAAACGGAGAAATGGGGATTGCATTACCCATCCCGTCTCCGACTTTTTAAAACGGAGAAAATTTGAATCTGACCCCACCCCCGATCAACTCGGATTTTCCTCGTCAAATTTGAGACAGAAAACGGTTCAATGGTCACGATTATGGTTTTATTTTCATCGTAATTGTAACGACCTATGATTTGTTTAATACTATTTCATTGATCTTTTCAAATTTGTCCTTCACAACACCTCAATTTTTGTGCAATTCGAAAAGAAAAAGCATGAAATAGCGCTTGGATTGCTATAAAAAGATTGAAATGACATGTTGGCCAATAACAAATAATAATGTGTATGATAAGATAAATTTCAAATGTTTATATATTACTCGTATTGATATAATATATTTTTCTAATAATTATTATATTATCTCATACTGCAAATTCATACAACACCATATTACATAACATCAATTCTTACTTTTATCACTCTAGCCACCGACATGCATATCTTTAATAAAATTATATATATGTGTGTGTGTAAAAAATGCAAGTAAATAATCGTGGCATAAAATTTAAAACTTTAAATAAATTATTATGCCCTCGTATTTAAGTAAGTTTGAGTGAATAAATCTTAATATCTTTTAGATTTTGATATTAATTCATAAGTGTTCTTTCACTTATCGTTTGAGCAAATAAATCTTAATATTTTTCAATTTTTGATATTAATTTATAAGTGTTCTTTCACTTAAACGATTATTTGAGAAAAAAATCATATTTTACATAATTTATAAAACTAAATTAAACTAGTCTAAAATATTTCAAAGTCATTTAAATCCAATATGGTGAAATATTTTCACTTAAATAAGTTCATTTTAACAAATTTGACCTAATTGTGTAAAATTTTACCAATCTAACTTCAATATCTAACTTTCTTACTCAAATATAAAATTTAGTTAAATTTCAACTTAGCCAACTATTCAAATATTTTTCCTCTTCCGTATTTCTAATTACAACTACAATTACCCCAACTAACGCATCTCTATCAACTCATTTTCAAAATTCATTATAACACATTCACATTATGAATTTCAATTCATAATCCAATGTAGTTACAATTCCTTCAATTTAATACTTGTGGCCAATCTACATTTCCAGACATTCAAATTCCATAACCTAGGGCACTATCATAATGTATCAAACAACTAGTTTCCTTACATGGATTAAACTAGAGTTACTCAAACAAAAACTCCAACAACAAAAACCTACATAAGATGTTTACAATTTTTCATGATATTGAACCAACAAACTAAAAATATAACTAAGAATTTAGACTAATAGAATTTTTTTTTTCATAAAAAACTACATGCTCAAACCCCAAGTACCACATGAAACCCATAGAGAAAAGAAGGATAAAAATAACTTACGTTAAATACAAAATTAATTAGTTAAAAAGAATCTACTCTCCACCAACACCTTTATAATCTATTTGGATCTTGAAAATAATGAATTTAAAATCTTAAAGAGAATATAGATATTTTATAAAATGAAGATTAAATAAAAGTTTTAACTTAACTAATTAAATATTTATTTTTCATCTAATTAAACTCATCCTTGGTTGGCTTTTACAATTAAATGATTTCAAGGATCTATTCACATATTTTTTGTATATATTAATTATTTTTAATATTTTTTATATGTTAAATATTCATTACTAAGAAATTAATTATTTTTCACTCAATTGAAGTTAAAGTTGAATTTTTTTTCGTCAACTCATTAACCCTTAAAATAATAAATTGTACTTAACTAAATTTTCTTTTAGACAACTTTACATACCATTTGGATTTTGTTGTTAAAAACACCTTAATAAAATGACAACTTAAAGATTTTACTCTTGTTTTTCCAAAGTAGTATTTCCCTCCTCCACTTTTTTGTTAAAATTTTGAAAATGGTATTAATATACATTTACTTAATTGTGTAATATCAATGATCTTTGGGTAGATGCCTACTTAGCTTAGATTAGATACTTCATTTCAATAATGTGATTATAGAAATTATTTGTTTATTATTAAAAGTATTATTAATATACTCCATCAATTATTATGAATAATAACCATTATTAATGTCTATTGACTATTTTCTTTTTAAAAAAGTTACAATGATTAAAACTAATAAAAAGTAAATTGAAAAATATTCATGTAAAATGAAAACATGTTTTTATTTTGTAGTTTTCTTATATTGAAAAAAGAAGGTGCTACAGTTAACGAAGTTTGATTATAGACTAAGTAGTCATATTACTAAATTCATTTTTGTTCTTTCATATTTTGATTTTTGTATAAGTTCAGAAAAAAACGAAGTATCCTCAACAAGAGAGAATTGAAAGATAGAGGGGTGTGTTGTGCCCTGTTAAGACAATAGGAGCCATGGAATCAAAGGTCGATGAAAACAACAATAATAGTAATTTGGGTTATGCAGGCCATAAGAAGAGAAAAAAAAGGTAGATAATAAGAAAGAATAAAATCATGCCAAATGAACTCATGTTTACAATAATAGAAAATAAAAAGTCTACTCCAACAATATTAATTATTTTTTATTATTTATTATATTAATAATTATACTAAAACAGTAAATATCTTTTAAAAAAAAACAACTAAATTAGTGTTCATAAAAGTTGGAAATTTCCGTTGTTGCTTATGTGCATGCATTTGTGACAAAAAGCTGGCGCTTAGTCACTAATATGAACCTTTGGTCTATTCTTATGTTTTAATCGTCACAATGGAACTCCATTATTAAAAAAATAACACGCGAGTGAAGTTTTGTGTGTGTGCTGGATTTTATCCTCCACAAATTCCTGTAACTACAATGCGAACTAAAATTTGTTTCATTCAATTATTTTAAATAGTTTTAGAGGTTAGTTTTTAAAAATAAATTTGTTTGATAATTTTATTTTTAAAGAATCACGTAGAAATTTGTGACGCAAATAAAAAATAAATATTAACCATTTTATAACGATAATAAATAAATATTGATAAAAACATTGATATTTTTTAATAAAAATAGAAAGTTGAAATAAAAAAAATTTCATTAGTCTTGATTTTTTAATTTTTAAAAATTTTAAAAAATAAAACACTACAACATAATTTGAAAAACAATAAATAAGCAAACCAACGTAATATTATCTCAAATTTAATTCAAGCTGAGTCACATGGTAAAATAAACTGATAAAATACAATGATTTTGTGTAATAAGTGGAAATCGATAGTCATATATATATATATATATATATATATATATATATATATATATATATATATTAAGTTTAATAGTTGAGTTATTAGCATAATTTGTTTAAGTCTTAATACAAATATTTTTTCATATGAGTTTTAAGATAGTTAATATATAAATTAACAAACTTACGGTTATGATTTTATATCGATATAAAAAATACTAACCGTCAAAGTATACAATATTTTATTATTTATGTGTTATGTATACAGTTTGAAATTAATTAAATTATATACAAATTATGTCACCTTAGTTGTCAAACCTAATGGAAACAAATATATTTTACCATAACTAAGTTTTAATATTAATATTCAATGAGAAATTAAAAAAAGAAGTGTGTACCACATTTTAAGAGAGTAAAAGATTTCCATATATATTTCAAAATAATTTTTTTAAATGTTTGTTTTTTTTTCCAAAACTTCTGTCTTAGCGAAATAATGCTATCAGTAAATTTGTGTTTTTTAGCGTAATTGAAAAAAAAGGTGTTCTTTTACTTATCTAGTTTTATTTTTTTTTATAGGGAAAAATGGTCGAATTCAAACTAACTTAAATTGAAGTAAGTACTTTACCTGCGTAGAGGAATGAATTTAAACAAATTCGACTCGACTCGTAAAATAAGATTTAAATAGTTTTTAACATAAGTTTTAAATAGAGAGAATTTTATTTGAAATTATACATTTTAAACTAAATTTATTGAATATAGAAAATAAGATTCTTAAAACTCTATGTTTTTTTTTTTTAAATTGAAAGAATATATTGAAAGAGTTTTATCGACATATTGTTATTATTTTATGTTTTATGAACATGAATTTATGATAAAAACAAAATAGGTTGAAGAATGAAAAATATCTTGCCCGAAAGAAAAGCACTAAATGTAGAAAAGAAAAAAGAAAATTATTTGGAAGGAATAGAAACGAACCGAAACGGGGAATCATTGTTTGCGTCTGTAAATTGAAAATTGCATCCCTCTCCCTGAAACTCAACCTCAAAACCCTAGCTTCCTGCAACACGAGCACAACGGCGTCGTTTCAGTGACGTTGTTATGATTGGGTGAGAATCGAACCGAATCAAATCGAATCGCGAAGGAACACTGTACCGGCGTTCGTTATGTACAGAGAGCGAGGAGGCGTGGGATCCAAATCGGAGGTAACTTCCGCTGATCGGAAGCGAATCAACGACGTGCTCGATAAACAGCTTGAACGGTCCTCGCCGTCCACATCCAGAGCCGCCACCATCAACGGCAAGGACCGCTCATCCTCCTCATCCCTCTTAGCCGCCGCCAAAGACTCCCGCTCCACCTCCGTCACCGCTCCCATCTCCAAGAATTCCAACGCTTCCGACGGTTCGAGATTTCTCCCTCTCTCACGATCTGATCTATTTTTATTGCCAATCTCGCCAACCGAATCCTTATTCTTTTTCGGAGTTAGCCGTATCTTGACACTAACTTAGGGTTATGTTAATTCGCGCTATGCAGAGCTCTTGACTTCGGTTTTTACTGTTATTTATTGCTAGAATAGCGTAGAGATGCAGAATTAGATTCCGATAGGGTTTTTGAGACGTGGAAGGGGGTAATACACGGTGTAATTGGTTGGACGAGAAGTTTAGTGAGGTAAAGTGTGATATAGAGTGAATATTGAGCTGACTTTGTTTTACATGCGTTTTTGGATGCAGAAGAATCTGAAACAGACAGCGAGGAGTCTGATGTTAGTGGTTCCGATGGAGATGACACGTCTTGGATCTCGTGGTTCTGCAATTTGAGAGGAAATGAGTTCTTCTGCGAGGTTGATGACGATTACATCCAGGACGACTTTAACTTGTGCGGATTAAGCAGTCAAGTGCCTTACTATGATTATGCTCTGGATTTGATTTTGGATGTTGAATCTTCCCATGGTAAGCTTATGGTTCTATGCTGCATACTTTTCAAGTGCAAAATAATAGCTATTGCAATCTGTGTTTGCTTGTGATGATACTATACAATGCGTGCTAACTCGTTGTGATTCAAATTGTGCACTTGCATGTATGCAGTGTGGATTATGTATTTGATCATTTCTGTACTTCGGCCCTGTTTGGATAAATTTCTCAATGAACACTTGAGAAGAAATAAAAAGGTAAAATGAATTAAGCTTCTTTAATATTTTAAAATTAGCTTATGCATAAGCTAATTTATAAAAGTTTTCTTATTTAGCTTCTTTAGAAGCTGGTTTTAATTTATGCATAAGTTAATTTTAACTTATGAGAAAGCTTGATTCATTTTACGTTCTTCTCTCCTTCTCTTATGAGTGCTTATTATGAAGTTTATGCAAACAGGACCGAAGGTTTGAAATCTAAATTGGATTGGTGGGATTGTGTAGGTGACATGTTTACCGAGGAACAAAATGAGTTAATTGAATCAGCAGCAGAGATGCTTTATGGTCTGATTCATGCCCGGTACATATTGACAAGCAAAGGAATGGCTGCAATGGTAAGAATTTTCTGTCACTAATTGCTATTATTTATCTCTTCCTTATCAAGGTTTGTAGTGTTATTGATATTGGAATTTCCACAGCTGGACAAGTACAAGAACTATGATTTTGGCAGATGCCCAAGAGTTTACTGCTCCGGACAACCTTGTATTCCAGTTGGTCAGTCAGACATCCCTAGATCCAGTACTGTGAAAATATACTGCCCTAGGTGTGAAGACATTTACTATCCCCGGTCCAAGTATCAAGGCAGTATCCTTATATGTTATATTATTGAACTTGTGTGGGTTTTAGTTGATTTTGCATCGACATTCCTCTAGAAGTATTTTTTTTGTTGGCACGTGCATCTTTTCTCTTCCTTGGTTTGACTGTAAATACATATGTTGATCTTTCTAGTGTCGAGCTTTTGTATGTGGATCAGAAACTACATTCTAAAAATGTCAAATGCCTATAAGAACATGGCTGGGAATTCTTGTTGCTCATGCGTAAATGATTTCTCTCAATTGAATACATTACTATTATACATCATACTAAGCCGGTCAATAATGGAATTGAGAGTAAATTTAGATTATGAATGATTTAAGTATGTGCTTTGGAGTTCATTAATCAATTGACAATTGATATGATATATGGGAAGTGTTTTGTGGTCTGAAAACACTGCTTTGCTTTCTTTTTGTAGAATGTGTGTGTATATAATTGCAAGGATGAGGTTCATGCAGGTGTTACTTCAATAGAATTACCCCTTATTGTAACCATTCATTTTTCTTGAAATCTAATGATTCCGATGAGTAAATAATCTTAACCATTAGATTTTCAAAAGATTAATTGGGAAGATAGGGAGTAACTTTCTTAGAATTACTTTGGGAGTTAATCTCCTCTCTCTCTCTCTCTCTCTATATATATATATATATATATATATATATATACTGCAATTTAATTTCCAGTTGTCTGGTAGCTGTATATCTCTAGCGTAAGAACAGTTTAGGCCTGTTCAAACATATTTTATTTTTCAAAATCATGGAAATCCTAATAGTTTCGAGGATAAAAAACTGAAGAACAAGGAACAGTTCATTGATCATTAAATCCAATACATGTGAATTTTACGATGATTACATGTCTCTTATTTTCTATTATATTCTGCTATATATAATTGTGACTTATTTTAATGGTGACACACTATCCTGTTCTCAAATCCTTAATTCTGGTCAAGACATTGACGGAGCTTATTTTGGAACTACATTTCCTCACCTGTTCCTCATGACTTATGGACAACTAAAGCCACAGAAACCATCACAGAGCTATGTTCCGAGAGTTTTTGGCTTCAAACTTCACAAGCCATGAAGTTGAAATTTTATGCTTGTTAAAGTAAGAGTTTACCTGTCTTAATTAAATTCTTTCTTAGTAGTCAGTGTCATGCTGCTGATCATAAGCTTTCAAAATCAGTAAAATCTGGAGTTTTTGTTTTTGTTTTAGGAGCATGTTGTAAAGAGAATTGCAGATGACCTGTCATGCAAGTGCTTAGTTTCAATTTCAGCTTGGAATTCAGTGAGCTACGAGTTCAATGAACAAGTGCTTAGCCACTTCAATGCACTCTTAAGTGCTTATTGCAAATTGTATTCTTGCGGTTAGTTTCACTTAAAGTTGTTTATGATTGTCAGATTACAGATACTCAACTATTTTATATTATTTTATTCCATTTGCTATCTCCCACATTTACGCAGCCTTTAAATTTGTGGATTGGACCTTCTGAATGGGATCATACATGTTTAGTCTGATATATAATTCCATTGCTATAAAAATGTAAAGTGGGTCCGCCAAATCATCGACAATGATCATGGCTATGTTTAGGTAAATGTTGGAAGGCCATTTTTGGAATTTTCAATGAAACTATTTTATTTCATATTAAAAATGAAGAAGGAAAAAAAGGTTACTGGAGCAAAAAATACAGGTAAATTCTTCCAACTTAAACTCAAACATGCTCTATATATCTATGTATGTATATAGTTAACATTTTTTTATGCAAGTCATATTATCAATTTTTTGTTTTTACTACCATAGTAAAAATTTGTCTGGTCTTCATATTATAATTAATACTTTCGTTTGGATTAATCATATTAACAATTGAAGTATTATTTACTAACGACTAACTATGACTTTATTGTATTATTTTTAACTAAAATAACTTTTTTTTTAAATTAATTATTTTTAATATCCTACTTTTAGAATTCAAATCGTTTAGTCACTTCTGCAATCATAATTCGACACTTACACTAAAGGTTTTGATGTTGGAGAGAAGAATATTTTTGGTCAGCATTTTTGAATTTTAGTGAGCCTTTAAAATAAGTAATTAAATATAATAATTTTTTATTTCAATTTAAAAATAATATAAAAAGCCACTTAGTCGTACATGTAATTAATTAACATATTACCTATTTTTTGAAAGTTATAACGTTTAATCAAACATATAATTAACAAACTATAATATTAAAAACATAATATATGAATAATCAAACATATAATTAACAAACTATAATATTAAAAACATAATATATGAATAATCAAACATATAATTAACAAACTATAATATTAAAAACATAATATATGAATAAGTTATTAACATTTTTCATATATTGTTCATCAGCACTTAACATAGGAAGTAACAGAAATTCGAATGAAATTATAATCCTTGTATAAAGATTAAATAATATTATATTATTGTACTTAAAAAAAATTGACAGAAAAAATATGAATACTATATAAATATAATGTGATTACTCCCCTCTATATGTATGGGTAAAATAGTAGACTGACATTTCAATTTAAGAGTTAGTTGCACCAAATTAAAGGACTAGGCATGGCAATAGGGTGGTGGAGGCAGTTGCCATTTTTAATCCTACTTTTCCCATTCTCGATTCTTGCTGCGTTCTTTATTTTTTTGTTAAGATTGAAAGTTAAGTTCTCTCGTCCCTGTGTTCCCCATTTACCTTCAGTTCCTAATCTATATTATTTATTAAAGAATAATTATATTTATAATAAATTAATTTTATTATTTTAATTTATTTTTGATACATAAATAAATATTTATAATTTATAATTAAAATTATTATTAATTAAATATATTTTTTAATTTATTATATTTATATTAAAATATATATGTAAAAAAATTTTGAATTATTTTTTTATATAAATATAAAATATTTATAATATTATTTTTTTTATAATATTATATTTAAATATTTATATTATTATTAAAAAGTTAATTCTTATTTAATTAGTTTGAAGTAATAAAAATTTAAATTTTTTTTTAATTTTTTAAAATATAATTATTTTATTAAAATAAAATTTAATATATGATAAATAAAAATAATAAAATTTAAAAAATATGACATAATAAAATTTAATAAATATAAATTATAAATAAAATAATATTAGTTACTATTAAAAATATATAAAATATTAAAAAAAAGTTTATGTTTATAAAATTTATTGAAAAAATAGAAAAAAATTGTATCTTTAATAAAAAACACCAAAAGCACATAAGGAGACTTCAAAAGGAAGTGAACAGGTGTGATTCATGAACACAAGTGTAAGAATCATAACTTCGAAATTAAAACATACAAAATTTGTTAGGGAACCAATAAAAAACACAAGAAATCACTTTTCCTGTCAATTGGTTTTCACTCCCCTACCCGTCCAAAATATAAAATTCCTTTAGGGTGAAAAACAGGCCTTTTTTTCTTAACTAATTTAACCAAACAATCTATTTTCCTTTTCTTCTTTCACCATTTTTACCAAACTTTTTACCTTCGTGGACTTGCTCTTGATATAAGAAGTCCTGTTCGCCTTTTTCTGCCTTTCCTTTGGAATTTGATCCATATCTTTGATTTCTGAACGCACATGAGCATTGGGCATTGAATGCGGCTTCTTGCTTCCTTTAAAATTCCTTCGACCTCTTTGGTAAGATCCTGTATAACATGAATTAACAGAGTTTCAACCATGATTTGATTCGTATACAAGTTTATTCAATTTATATATTTCATTGAGTCCAGTAAACTTCTACAATTTCCAACTGCTCAAGAAACCAAACCGAATGTTGGGGCATTTTGCATGCAAATACCAAGATAATTCTTAGAATAATATAAGAGAACTCACGCAGTTACCCAACAGTATTTACTTCTTGGATGATAAATAGTAGTTACCAGTATAACTGTTCATTATCAAACATAAAAATAAAAAAAAGCAAACTATGTTAGGTACCTGCGAAACATGTTGACTCCTGGGGATAACCTTCGTTTGTCCCTTTAAGTGAGTGCGTTCTTTCCACTTTTTATATATATTCATTTATATTCAAATGAAAAAAAAGAAAAAGAAAATATATATATATATATATATATATATATATATATATATATATATATATAAAATATACCTAATTCTTGCATAAAAAGTATCAATATAAAAGTTTGGGAGAGAGGTGTCACTGGAGGATAGTAAGTGGAGCTTGATTTGGGAATTAAATTGAAGGATTTGGAGGACATTTGAAATGAGTCTTAAGTTATTTAATATTGTATTTTTTCACGAATATTCTGAAGCCACATGAGATCCATACTTTATGAAAAATTTTCCAGCGATGGGATAAAGTGGTAGATGTGTTTTTACCCAAGAAATTTGATAAGGTAGGTCAGAGGTTTGGGTTTGTCCGTTTCGCATATATATGTAATGCGGAGGCGTTGAAACGGAGATTGGGATCAATTGTGATTGGTACGAAACGACTGAAGGTGCATTTGAGCCGTTACGCTAGGGGTCCTACAGCTGCGATGAAATTACATCGCTTCAGGGAAGGGGTGGTTGGGCAATTAGGTGTGGGTGGTTTTTCATACGCAGATGCTCTGCGAGATCCTCAGGCTTTGTTGGCGGAGGAAAACCCGACGATGGTTAGGGTTGAGGGAAAGCGGTCAGAACAATCTTGGTGTCCCTTACACTATGCAGTGAAGGAGTAGTTTCTTGAAGAGTGCTGCTAGACTCTTGTTGGTTGTCTCTATCGTGGACAGGACTTGACTACGGTTAGGAAGGAGGTGTTACAGGCGGGCTTCTCAGATATTGTTCTGACCACGATGGGAGATGATAAAGTCTTGATTGAGTCGGATGCAGGGGTGAACTTGGAGGATACTGTGTTGCTGAATATGAAGCTTTGGAGCATTGGTTTTATGAAGTCGGTTGGTGGCATCCAAGGACAGAGGTGTGTGTTCATCGGGAAACTTGGGTCCGCTATTATGGGGTGTCGTTACATGCGTGGTCTGAGACATTTTTTAAGAAGATGGTGTCATGCTTGAGGGACTTTATTCAGGTGGATGAGGTTACGAAACGGGGGAGGAGATTGAATTATGGACGTGTTCAATTGCGTAGATTAGCATCAACATTGATAAATGAGGGGACTAAAGTACTTATTAATGATTTATGCTTTCCAATACTTATGGTGGAGGAGCATGACAGTCGGTTCCATGTGGATATTGTTGATGATGTATCCTCGAATGACTGTGATTATATGGAAAGTGCATCTCTTGACTTGCATGAGGTCAAAAATTATTCGTCGGAGGAAGAAGGGCACATTCGAGAGGGTGTGACTGGTGTATGGTCTAGGATGGTGGTTGACATGCCTACTGTGGGGGCTATTATGGAGGAGCAATTGTCTCCTAATGATAAGGGAGTGGGAGCCGAGACGGTGATTGAGGGAATCCTGGAAGTGTTGCCTTTAGCGAGGCTACATGATTCAAAAATTGGAGGCAATAAGGGAGGGGAAGTTGGTAGTAAGCGAGGTTGCTATGGAGAGAGGATCTGGAGAGGAGGGTGGTGCTATTAGCATTGGACAGTCGTGTGATTTTGAAGGATGGTGCTGGCCAAATGCATGTGTCGACTAGAGATGTTGGACAAGGTGGTGAGGTGGAGAGTATGAGTGGTGTACAGTCTAAGGGGGTGAGTATGCAGAAGCTACTGTGTCATGTGGGTGAGATAAATGGGTTTGGTAGTAACCCGTTCTGGTTGGATCAATTTCTTTGGCCAGAGCATGCCCAGGAAGTATCGAGGGCGCCACATGACACTGGTGTTCCTGTGGTCTCCCTTCCAGCCAAATTGGGAGTTTCCGTCTTGCGATCCAATTTGCGGCATACATTACGGAAAACTCGTCGTAGGAATCTTAGGTGCCAAAAGAGTGGCCTGGGTGTGTCGGTGGTGGAAGGGGTCTCATCGATGGTGTCGAATAATGTTGTGTCGGATAATGAGATTGACGTGTCTTCGGAGGTTGACCCTCTACGTGCGAATGATGAGGTGGTGGCAGATAAGGT